TCCTACCAAGGGGCGGCAGGGAGCCACAGTGCTGACGAAGGAAAAACAAACTAATGAGGGATTAGGGCTAAAACTGACTGCAATTAACACTTAATTAAGGTCTTAAAATGCAATGATTGACTCTACCTTTGAGGGACCTGGCTCAAGCAATTAGCCTAATCATATGTGACAGCTTGAAACCGCATGAAATCCCTATTGCCACACATCTGAAGGGCCTTGAACTGCAGCAGAGCGGCATGCAAAGGTCTGCGCCCTGTGCTGGTAGCAGACCAGGTGACGGGACCAGACGCGCTGCCTGGGAGCTGGGTTACCGCATCGCCTCCCTCCCCTCTGTGCTGGTGGCTCGCCGATGCCTCGTTGGCTCCCCCTGCCGGTCCGTCTGGGTGACGAATTGTCCTTTTCCGACGCTGCAGCTCTGCTCTGTTCGCCGATGCCTCGTTGGCTTCCCCTGCCGGTCCGTCTGGGTGACGAATTGTCCTTTTCCGACGCTGCAGCTCTGCTCTGTCTGGCAGGACATTGATTGATAGCGCTGATCAATATTCTCCCCAGACGGAGCAGATGGCAGCCAGCGTAACGCAGACAATGTGCCCGCCTGAGGTGTCTCGTCCACGGGGGATGAAGGTGAAAGGACAAGTGGAGCCAGGGAAGGCATGTGGGTGCAGCTGGCGGGGGAGAGAGTAGCAGGGAGGTGGTGGATGAATGGAGACCCCATCAGTGAATTGCTGCAAAACCCCCTTTCCTGCCTCTCAAGTGATGCAGGCTGCTTGCTAAGAAACAGCAGCATCTTCATGGCTCTTCCCTTGGTGCCCGTCCTGTCCCCAGACAGGTACAACGGCTACGTTGGCACCTAGATGCTCGGCAAATCTTCCAAGTCCACGTCACCTGCTAGCACTGCCTTAAACCAAAGCTGGCTGCCTGTCAGGAGCATGTAGCATCAAATGCTAAACTACCCAGCCAGACACCTTCTCAGAAACCAGCACGTCTCTCGCCTGCGTTAGCCGGATTAGTGCCGGTGCTATGGCTGGATCAGTGCAGTTCTCCGATGCTTAGCCATCGTCTTGCTGAGGGGAGAGCAGGGGAGCAGCCAAACTTAGATTCATAGATGCTAGGGTCGGAAGGGACCTCAATAGATCATGGAGTCCGACCCCCAACTTGAGACACTGAGTTTGTTAAAAGGCAACGGGAGGAGAAACGTGGGAAGGAAGTCAGCAAGTCACCGCTCTTGTAAACAGGAGTGGCTAAACAGCCCTGGCTCTACTTGACAGCACGGCTCTAAGAGCGCCGAAATGTCACAGAAGTCTGTGACTTGGGTTTGAGGTCTGTGGGACCACAGGTTTTTAAATCCCAAACGAAGCTGAGTGCTCCTGAGAGTGGAACAGCAAAGCCTGGAGAGCTCTTGGCAAGAGGCCTAGGCAGTGGGGGTGTGATGGATCCTCCTCGGGGCAAGGTGTCTTTGGTCTGCTCTCCACGGCCTCTTCTGCAGGAGATCGTGGTGGATGCGCTGCTCATGGCTGGGAGAGTTTGATGCTCCAAGTGCCTCGGTTTTGTGCAGGGGATCGTGCCTCCTGCACAGCTGGAGTCTGGGCTGCGCCAGCTGAGCCCCTACTTCTGCCCCAAGCCACAGGTGGAGCCCACGTGGCTCCATCTTCCATCCCGTCCCCCTTGGAAGGGAGCAGGTGGCTGGTCCCCACGCCGTACCTGCCTGGCCACGGCACTGCCTGCAGAGGCACCGGAGATGCTACCACCTGTGCTTGGGAAGGGAGGGCTTTGCACCTCCCAGGTCTTTGAGTGCCTACAGGTGCGGTCCAGCCTCTTCCCAGCTCCGAGCCTGCACCTGCTCGGAGAAGCTGCCTCGTGACTAGTGTTTGCTCCACGTGCGTCCCTGTGCTCCCCTCCCTTGGCCTGGGACCTGCAGAGCCCTGTGTGCAAAGGGCAGAATCCTGCCCACTAGCTACTCCCTAGAAAGCATCGGGGAGCAGAGATGACCCAACGCCCCTCCCCAAAGACTTGCTGTACCTCGGACTTCCCCTCGCACAAGCCAGGGTATCTCCCAGAAAGAAACAAAGGGCCTGCAACTGCAGGGAGGGCTGGGCGATGCCATTTCTATGCAGATGAACCCACTCTGCATCCAAGAGCCAGCTCTCGAAGGGCATCGCTGCCCTGGCATGCAGAAAGGGCTAGAGCGTGAGTGTTCCCAGACGCTTAGCCCTGGATCACCTTGGGCAAGAGAGGAGAAATTGTGCAGCAACTGTGACATTCGTCCTCTGGAATCCAGGTTTCCTATGAAGCCATTAGTGCAAGCGCACTTCCCGATCAGGCCGTCTGAGCTGTGTTGTGGACTGGACTCCACAAATAACCTGCAGCTGGAACCACAGTGGCCTGCCGGCACCATCTTTCAGGTCTTGCTGTTCTGATACTAACCTCATTTCATCACCTCTCTTGTCATGGGGGGGGAAAAGGAGCAGGGGACCGCTGGGAACTCGGAGGCTCATATAATGACATGGCAACTGCACGCAGCTAATAATCCACAGAGAGGATTAGCAGATTCGGATGTGTGTGTAGCTCTGCATAATGGGGGACTTGCAGAGAGCATCGGTTTCCCCTGCTCTACCCATTGT